CTACAGTATTTCTCTGACCGACTGAATGAAATTTCCCATCATCACAAGATTACAAATAAATATTAAAAACACTGATTATAACTGAACCAAGAGTTTGATTGTCAGAAATTATTTTTATTATTCTAGTAATAGCTACTACTAATTCCATGACTTATTTCCACACAAGAAATGAAACACACACCATGCTTATATAGAAAGTAATCAACTGACTCTATACAGTGACAAACTATATTACCCATAGTTGTGCAGATAAATGAAATAATAAATTTTCAAATAAGCCAACTTTTATTACTGCAACAATTCATTCAGGATCACCAAAGGATGAAGTATTCATATGAGAGAATGTTCTAGACATAGGCAGTCCTCCGGACACATGACACTTTGACTTCTGCTGATTTGTATGTTTGCTTTTCAGCCAACTACACACTTAGAATCAACATATTGCCAGCAGGCAGGTAGCACACATATTAAATTACATCAGTCAATCAACTGATGTTTACCTTCAAAGGTTTCCCAGCACTCCCTCTCAATCTGACGATAAGAAAAGGGTGGCAGCTTCCTTCACACCCACTCTGTTTTGGGACTTGATCGGTAGCATAAGCTGACTAGTAGTTCCCATCTTGTGTTTGGATGAAACTGCACAGAGAGACAAAGGGAAAGGAAATTAGCAGGGAAAGTAGGAGTATTTAGCTTTTCATTTTAAGTTTTGAAATTAATTTCTCCAATAACATTCTGTGAAGTGGGCAGATGAGTTTTTAATGTTTTCTACTTTACAGATTTGGTAACTGAGAATCAAAGTGAATGTGCATTTTTCAGATTTCACTGCTAAAGCTCTATAAAGATGATTTAATACATGCTATTAAGGGATTTTCATTTAATATAAAATGTCAGGAGAATAATATTTAAGGAGACAAAGATAAGTTTGCCTGATTTTTTTTCTCTATTTTTGTGGATGTGCCTTCCCTGCTCCAAAGTGTTTAACATTTTAAAGTCAGTAAGGGAAGTTTTGAAGTGCTGTGAGCAATGACAAGGTCATTCCAGGGAAAGCAGTTTTGAAAGTACAGGAATGATTTTGATGACTTATATATTTTAGTTTTAAAATAACCTCATTATTTTTGTATAAATCTTTATTGGTGAAAGTATTACATATATCCCATTGCCTCCTCCCACCCAAGCCTTCACCATCCACTGTCTGTGTCTATGGATAACCCTGTTATTTTATCTTGACTCTTATCTCCAGGTAACAAGAACTTACTGAAAATTATTATGTACTTTAAATAAGAAACACTGTGGTGAATTTCACTATCTATTTACCTCTGCCTAGCTAAGATGGAGAATCTATGTACTCCCAAACCTGTTTCTCGAGCATCCCTTCCCGTAAAGAATTCTGACTTCAGCTTCTGTTTTAAATCTGTGTGAGCAGGTGCAGAACTTTCTAACCTACCCTTACTATCCTTTTCACCAGCATCTCACTTCACGCACAAAGCATGTCCCTTTATCTTTGCCACGACTACGTTGTAAACCCTGAATTTTACTCTGTGGGCAGTGTTCACTCCCCTTTTCCCTCTCAGTCTTTTAAAATGAAAAGTCTTAGTGGAAAGAATTTTCCTCTTTACCATACAAAATTTTCCTGAATAATGCATTCCTGTTCCTTCCAGAATTAAAATTTGAGTGTAAGTCAGAAATCTACACTTTATTCAGTTCAATCCCTTAAAATACTCACATAAAAGAAAAATCTGTGATGACATCACTTTACTCACATTCAATAAAGTATTAGTCTTATGGCCAAATGGAAGTGCTTGCTTTTATGAAATAAGACTCATATCAACATGAATCTAAGCTTTGACTTTCTCCAAGATAACATTCCATTTATGCTGTTATTTTCAGGAGAGAAGACTCAGCATCCCATAACTAAAACTATAAAGGGGATGAGAATAACCACTGATTTATTCTAACATTGATTCTCTACCAGATCAGTGGCATCACTCCAAAAGATTTAAAAACAAATGGTTACCTGGCTGGTTTGGCTCAGTGGATAGAGTGTAGGCCTGTAGACTGGAGGGTCCAGGTTTGATTCCTGGTCAAGGGCACATGCCGGGTTGCTGGCTCGATCCCCAGTAAGGGGCGTGCAGGAAGCAGCCAATCAATGATTCTCTCTCATCATTGATGTTTCTACCTCTCCCTCCCTCTCCTTTCCTCTCTGAAATCAATAAAAATATATTTAAAAATACATGGTTTGCAAAAGTGATGCCTTCTCACAGATAGAGTGCTATAGGGGCAGTTTTTAATGACTTTAAATGCCCATGTGGTCTAAATAAGCATGTATAAAAATGTTTTGGAATTTATTCACGTCAGTTTTAACAATTCTGAATTTATTCAGAATTGCTAAAAAATAAGTTTAATGTTTAGCAATTACAATAGGTACTGGTTAAATAAATATTTATAAGGTGGAATATTGTGCAGTCATTAAAATTACTTCTTTTCCATATTCAGTGTTCTTGAATGTTTATACTATGGGTATTTATTTATTTTTTTATTTGGTGACTCTATGTAGGATTTTATTTACACGGACACTCAATTACAGATAAGGCGATTTCTAGGATCCATATGCCTTCCTAGAGCTACTTGGTTTCGGGTTTCTTGTCTCCGGCTTCAAGCTTGAGACTCTCAGCGGCTGGGGACAGGCAGGGAAAGCCTCCCGAGGACTATTCAGGGCAAACTTGCGGAACTCTTGGGCCAACCCCACCGGCTCAGCCACCGCCCTTCACCTCATCATCTCACCTCATCATCATAGGGGAACTCAGTTAGCCAGACAGGGAGAGTCTTTCCGGAAAGGCTGTCCCTCAAAGCCACCGTCTGCCAGGATCCTTCTTAGGTCAGGATGGTTGGCAAAGAGGATCCAAACCTGCCCCAGCTCTTCCTCTCATGCTGCCTTGTACACAGAGCCCGCGGACTCGGGGTGTCAGCTCATCTGTAAGGTCTTCACAGGGACGGGGAGGGGAAGCAGAGACAGCGGGCTGTAAACAATCCCAACCATTTCTGCGGGGTTGGGGCGCCCACTGCCATCAGGGCAGCCAAAGGTTCCAATTGTGCTCCTGAGATCCCCGAGGAAAGCCAGCCCTGGAATGACTCCATCAGGCGGACACAGGCCGCTGACTCATCGGCAGGACACCCGCACTTGCTGGATATCCTTGGGCAGGATTTCAGCCTCCTACTCTCCAAAAGCTCAGAGCTGTTTGTGGGCCACACCATCCCTTGGTCCCACAGTGGGGGCTTGCCAGCTGCAGCGCTTTCCCTCCTCCCAGGCAGCAACAGCGTGAGGGGCGCCCCACCACCCCGACCCTGGGCAGCGCCTTGGCCTGCCCCACCAGGCCCTCTCGGTGGCCTCCCGTTCCCAGGAGCTGACCTTGGGGATTTTCTTTAATTTCACTTGTGATTTAAACAGTCATGTGAGGGTTGTTTGGCCTCTTCCCAGATACCTTCCAAAATACCACCCCAAGTCATATGTGAGCCATTATTTCCAGACAGCCAAGCATGCTTCTTTGACAGTGCTGGGGATGAGCATCAGTATACTGCCAACTGGTTCAGAAGAGCTTAGCGCTGGCCTGCAGTGTTGTTGTTTTGTGTTGTTTTGTTTTGGTTTTCTCTTATTGATTAAGGTATTATAACTGTGTGCTTATTCCCCCCCACCCCCCCTCAATTGGGCCTGCAGTTTTTTATGGCTTCAGTGATACAGGACGTTTTGGATGTTCTTCGAAGAAATGGCTTTGGGCACTCTTTATTGACATACCTCAACATAAGTGAGCAGGAAAACCTCTCTATAGAAATTAAATATGAATTAAAACTTCTCAATATTTTTCTCCTTCAAGTTATAAAGATTATTCTTATTTTTATGGATGATGTCTAAGTGGGGACAGGGACTCCATACTAAAGTTGCCTACAATTAGTTCAATCAATGAAATTATAAAGGTTGCTTCTCAAATAATTCCTAAATTCTCTGAAAATCACCACAAATTTGCCTTTAAGCAGCCATATTAAAATACCCCCAAAGATAAAATACTAAAACAAAAATTTTGGTATTCATATAAATAGACTTTCACCCTAAATTGTTGCAATGAAATAAGGCTAGAAATTGTATTAAAATGCACACATCAGCTTGATGTTAAAAAATTGCTCTTTATTAAGCTAATTATTCTCTGGAAAGACCAAAACAGACATTTTATTTTGACATGTAGAAATTTTTTCTGGGAATATAGTCACAAAATACATAGGTTGCTTTTTAGTATCAAACAGATTAAAAGGTTTAACTGGAAACAAAAAATAATTAATAGGTTACAGAGAAAATTCTGAGTTGTTTCTGTAAATAAAATAATTGCTATAATAATTTGCTGATTGTCCTTATATTGACATTGTATCCAGAATTTAACAATAAAGGAAGGTTATTTTACTCCTTATTCTTTCAACACCCGTAGTAAGCCTCAGTGCAAGCCACTGTTCTAGATTCTGGAAATTCAAAGATCGGCTCCTAGATATGATAAACCCTTGCTGTGGGCTTCAAAAAATATAATACTGTTGTAGCGAACCCAGAACGGATTCATTCTTGAAACATTTCTAAAAAAAAAACTGGTGTTATGTGTTAAGAGAAATTTGGAAGGAATCTTTTTCAGAGAAATACTGCTCAAACAAAATTTTTCCTTACCCCAGAAAATGAAAAGTAATAGGGGTTATAGTAGGTGTTTTATTATATCATTCAACTAAGTGTAGCATTGTTTTAAAACCAATGCAGAGATTTTTCTGTAAAAAAAAAAAACAAACTTATACTCTGCAAGGCATATCCCATTATCGTTTTTATTAAGATATTTTGGTTATTGTAAGTAAGAATTTTGAAGACTATTGAGTGTAAAAGATGTTTGGAATGTTGACAATTTTAAGTTTTGCTCATAAATTTCTCAATAGAAATTAAAGCTCTACATTTAGGTTTGTTTCATTCATATTTGTAGCTCATTTTTGAAGGTATTCGAGGTCCTGGCATAGAAGGTGACATTGCCATTGATGATGTATCAATTGCAGAAGGAGAATGTGCAAAACAAGACCTAACGACTAAGAGTAAGTGTCTCTTTTTTAATTGGTTTGATGAGATGTTAATGTAAATACTATCAAATTAATATATTCTAATTTAAAAATTTATTTTTAGTTTGTTTATTTAGAATTTCTTATATTTAAGAAGCTAAAATTTTGAGGATAACTTAAAAGAAAAGTATTAAATTTGGCTGTATGCTTGTTTAGCCTAAGAAAAAATATAATTTTGATTTAGGTTTATGATTTTTAATTGGGATTTTAAAATATTTTGGTTGATATTATTAATTTCAGAGGTTTTCAACTTTTCTTAAAATATTTAATTAATCTACATACTCAGCATATATTTGTACAAACATAGTGCTTTTTAATCCCCCAGTTTGTGAAAATATTTCTTAGGTTTTACGTTTGTTAAACATTTTAACCGGTTTAATATTTTAAACAGTCTTAACAGGGTTTTCCCAAAAAATGAATACACACTTTAACAGCTGATAGCTCAATTTTGAAAATGAAATGTATTTTAATAAGCACTTCCTTTATAATTATTCAAAGTGTGTATATATATTTTGGGGGGACACCCTATATTAAATAATGGATTAGCCCTATTTTTTAAAATATGTTTTTATTGATTTCCGAGAGGAAGTGAGAGGGCGAGAGAGAGAGAAACATCAATGATGAGAATCACTGATTGGCTCCTGCACAGCTCCCACTGGGGACCAAGCCCACAACCTGGGCACATGCCCCCAACCAGAACCGAACCCGGGACCCCTCAGTCCAAAGGCCAATGCTCTATCCACTGAGCCAAACTGGCTAGGGCTAGCCCTATTTATTTATTTTTTTCTGGTATAATTAATCTCCTTCTACCTGCACCACAATCAATTGCTTGGTAATTTGGTTCCACATTTATTTTGGTTTGAATATTATGGCTTGATGATGTCTTCAAATGTTATTTTTCATTACAAATCAATTTTTATATAAAAGAAGTATAAATAATGCAAAAACCATCAGAGTGTGTATTGAGCTGCTTCTTAAAAACTTCATCTTCATGTTGTTCATTTGAAGTTGAGAAACCTCAAATCATTCCTATTAAAAATTTTTCCAATTGAAAGATTTTCATAGGACCATCTGGAATCCTTACTTTTGTGATCACATAAAGAGGTATAAATGCAACTAAATTTATAAAAATAAATTCATCAATTATTCACATACAAAAAGAGCATGAAAGTCAATTTTGTATTAAGTCTAGAGCAAATCTGAGTCTTTGTTAATTGAGTATAATTAGTAAGAAATTACATCAGTCTAGTTGTTGAAAGTCATATTTGTACAGCTACCCAGTGATTGCTCTCTCATATGAACTGAATTGATTACATCTTTAATCATTGTAAAAAGACAGAAGCTAAAATTGTATATAACAATGAGCCATTTTGCTCATAGATTTACTTTCTTATCATTACACTTAGCATTTCATTTCAAGTAACACATTTGTAAATTTCACCCTGTGTCAGGCTAATTTCGCGTTAGAAAACTAATAGCTCAAATGAAATAGGTTTGTCAATGCACAGAAAAGCATGCTTTCTCCTCAGAGGGACTGGGATTTCCTCTGGATATTATAATATTTATCAGTGACAGTAACATATTAACCAAAGATAGTTACTATCTTACAAAGAAAATTTACATTTGATAACTTAATCACTGAAAAATATTATAGACTAAATTCAATAAGGTGAATTAAACTTTCCAAATGATGAAAGCAAGAGAACATAATTTACTTCTGAAATAAGAAAGCAGAAGTAAAAGTAGATACAGTGAAATGATAACGAAAACTTATAGGAACTTTATTATTACACAATAGAATGTTTCCTTAAAATACTAAATCCAGAGAAATGTGGGGCTGTCTTAGATAAAATACATCTGTAAGTATTAAAGTTAATTATTTTAGCCTCTGTTAATCAGAGGCAGCACATAACCCTAATTAAATAAAATATATTCTATTTGGTGTGAGGAAGTATTTTGTTAATTTGTACTATTCATCATTTATTAAATTCATTTGGATGAATAGTGTTCAATGAATATTAAAGTAATGTTAATTTCTAAGTACCAACCAGTTTGGCAGTCAAAAGCCTCTTCCTAACTGCTCTGACTCCCAATCCTTCTAGGGCAGCAAATGATCCTGTGGCCCACCCACACTGACAAAAGCTGAGATTGTGTGTCTCTTATTTTCAAAACTCAGTTCTCCCCTAGGTGAGAGCCATGTTGTAACTTAAGCCAAATTAATGAATTATTGGGTTTACCTGCTTTAGCATCCCTAGGTATACCCTAAGAGGTATGACCTGAATTTGAGGCGTTAGGTGAAATACCAATTGTAGAAGGAATCTCAAGGCAAAGTGCTGGAAGATATATTTTAGTTAGGATGGACTTCATAGTGCTTCTAAAAATTACACTAAAGAGATAATTATTTAACTAATTTATAAATATGTTGGACTGATCTGAATATATATAATTCAGTATTTGCAATAGCTAATTTCAGTACCCATAACAATTCCTTCCTAGTTTTCATCAAGTGTAGTTTTTCTCTCAGTCTTTAAGCTTAAACATTTCTGAAAGCTTGTGTGTGTGTCGAGGTGGGGGGGTGGGGGGGTGGGGGAAGCTGACGATTAGGTTTTCTGAGAATTTTCTATGTGTGCATGCTTTCATGTGGCTAGCAGAACTCAGGTTCTGTGCGGCCACAAACCTACACAAGTATCTTCTGAACAGTTTTTATAGCATTTTATATCAATTTAAATCTGCAAATATGTTTAGCAAGTGCCTAACCACATATTAAAATGATAATCCTTTCACTTGTCTTGGAAATGAAGCTGATAAATAAAACCAAAAAGAAAAAAAAAAGTTTTCCAAAATTGTTTTCATATACAAAAAATATTTCATTAGTTTACCAAAGTGGAGTTGGTTGTTGCATGGAATACTTATTTTTTGTTTGGTTGTTTCTTGGCATTTGTTTTCCTTGTCTTTAGATTCCGTTGATGGTGCTGTTGGAATTTTAGTACATATATGGCTTTTTCCAGTTATTGTCCTCATCTCTATCCTGAGTCCTCGAAGGTGACCTTATCCTGGCAGAGGCTATAAAAGATTCACCAGGCACTGGCATGAAGAGTCTTTGTAAATGGACATTGAAAAAACAAACTACCAAAGATTCCTCCACTGACTACTGACTCAAAAATAAAATAATAAAAACAAATTTTTTAAGCACTGGGGATAAAAAGATGTCATGGAAGTATAAGTTATTCCAAACTGCGTATACAAGATAGTCTTGACCTGAATAGAGAAGAGACCTTCAGGTGCTTTTGTGGCTAAAACGATCACAGTGTCATCTGGTCATCTGGTTGAACTCTGGGGGGAAAAAAAGAGCTATAGAAATTCTTGTCAAAGCACAAAGTCTTGGCTGGTTTTGTTTCAAATGAATAGTTTGCTTGTTACCATGGAAACCTAATGGCCTGCCAACAAAAACCTCACTGTAAACAGGGTACGTGAAGAGCTGGCATTTATTTTCCTTTGGAAAAGCTTTTACGTAGAGAATTCAATAAATGTAGGCCCTTTTACCTTTGGTTGTTACCCTTCCTTGGAAAGAACCTGAACTCAGAATTATTTACAACGTTCATCCTCCCCACCTCTCCCCACCCTACCTTTATAATTTGTACTTGTTTCCTCCCATGGCTAAGCTAGATAACTGTGTGCTGTCTCTTTTTGCATGCACTGCTATCCAGGATAGTCACCCTGGGCTTACATAACACACAGGCTTATCGGCGTTTGCTCGCGGCCACTTGAACACCCAAACTGTCATCTGTTCCAGTGAAGAAACCAAACCACCATCTTTTATAAATTGCCATGGAAACTAAGTGCCTTCAATGAAACAAGCCTGAATAATTTCCAGCTCAGAAGCTTGCACTGCTAAGAGTGGTTTGTGTAAAACTATTTTATAAACAAACTGCAGAGCCGAAACGTGCAAATTGCAGGCAAGACAACAAAGCCGCTTCTGAAGAAGAAAGGACCGAAGCTGCTGCGGAAGCCGATGCGGAGGAGATACTTGTTTGACCAGACAGCCATGGCCTCTCAGCTTATTGTCCATTAGAAAGTAACGTCCACTGAGACCAGACAAGGGAGCAACTTTTTTTCTTCCAGGTTACTGAATGGGTCAACCAGAGCAAAAGGTTAAGATAATACTCAGCTCAAGAGTGATTTTTCACTCTCACCTCCATTCGAAGTGAAATTGGCCCTAGCTTTAGAGGGAACAAGAAAATGTTTGTGATTTCAGTGCATACAAACTCTACAGCGGAACTGGGCCTGAAAAATCTGGCTTTATTCTAAACTCTGAGGGTAACATGCCTCTGCCCTTAAGTCAGACTCTGTGCAAATTGTGAAATATTATTTTATTATTTTACAAAGATTAAAAACACTTTTACAGAAAAAAAACAAAAACCTGTAAAAATGATTTTGAGCTACCTGAGGATAAATCATACCTTTAACCAGCCAGTTTTCCAATGCATTGTAAATTTCACTTAAACCTGTTGGTTATGAAAATTTGAAGATCTCTTTCCTTAAATTATCTCAGCTTTTAACTTCATTTAAGACTTTTGTCTAAAGAAGAATATTATTATTATTATGTTCTATCAACACCCCAGGATTTAAAAAAAAAAAAAAATGGTTATGCAAGTAATTGGGATATAAGTATTAAATTATAACATTTGCAAATATTAATATAAAAAGCACAACAAAATGTAGTGGGGAAATGACACAGCTTGATTTTTTTTTAAGTCTATAGAAATGTTTGTGCAAATTCAATAATTCACCTTAAAAGATAACTTTACACTATGTTCAATAAAGCCTCTTTCCAGGTAAGGTATGAAAAGCAGTATGTGTGTTTGTTGAGCAGTGTTCACTTACCACCAAAATGAGAATAGCTATACAATTTATCTGTTATGTCACCATGGGATAAACCTTCAGTGCTTCATGTACCTTAATGTCTACAGGAAGGAATTTTAACAGGAACTCCCTGATGCACTCTCCCACATTTGTAATACATATAAAAAAAGTCAAATCTTTGAAAGTAAAACATGAAACAGATATGAACTTGGAATTAAACGTGTATTTTCATACATAAAGAGGGGACTAGTTTGAATATCCTAAGTAGTGATAGAATTGAGCCAAGCCAAATCTTTTAAATTAAAATGGATAAACACATGAATTTCATGACTTATTTGAAAAAATCAGGCATATTGTTGTGTTTGTTTTTTATGTTGTTTTTTTCAAAATTACAGTCATGCCAAAGAGATAAACAATATTTGGGGCACTTAGCTTAATGCATACTAAATTTTCCTTCAGTTTGCCTTCCATTTTGTGTAGCAACTATCTTCTTTTCTCCATTATCTCGTATTAGTAGACCATCGTTTTTATTGATTTCCTGCACTCTCATTGCTGGTAACATCAATAAAAAGGTTTTAGATCTAAACAGAGGCTTAACTCATTCCTGCCTTCTTTTCTTAAACTTTGATTTGAGTCAGGATTTTACAAAAAACTAAAAAAACGTATATTCAAAATATTTGGATATACATATGTCATTTTCAGGAAAACAAGTCTCCATTTCTTCGAAGTAGCTCTACACAAAGAAACAGCTGTAACTGAAAGTTTCAATCCTACTATTAAACATTAATAAGGTATTAAGACATTATTACCTTTCACACTATAAAAATACACAAGGCTTCAGAAGTTCATGAGAACTGGCTGGTACTTCAAAATTAATTTTGATTAAATTTTTGAGAAATTGCTGATGAGTGCCAAGAACAAAGGGCAATCAGAATTGCAAAGCAATCATATTTATTGATATGGTAACAAAGTATATATCTCAAGTGGGTTCTGGATCATTTATGAAAACCAATAAACAGAATTAGAATCAATGTTTTTCACTCCAGGTCAAATGTTTCATTGTTTTAATTGAAAGTCAACGGATAAAATGCAGGAATTTTTTAATTGGGATAAGTGAAATAAATGTAAATTGTGTTAAGTAGTCTCTTCTTTAATATTAGTGATAATACAACAATTTACCTGTTTACCAACTGCCTTCCTTTTCCTAATACTTTTTGTGTTTATTATAAGTTGAACTCACTAAAATATCTCCCCTTTTCTTTTTTATAACATATGTTAAGCGTGATGGATGTCAATCTCTTTTCTTCTTTTATAGGAAGGCATCAGGCAGTGGAGATTTTAATTTCCAGGAGAAAGATTATACTACATAATCTCCTACTGCCAATAATTGATCCTTGATTAATTAGGAGCATTACTTGGTTTCATCATTTCAAAGACACTTGCTTCTCCACATTTTAACATCTCTGTAGTTGGCCTATTTGAATTTCTATTGGCAGCATTGCTATGTAGTGATATATAAAATTATACTGCATCCAAAAACTGATGACATTTAGATATCAAAAGTCACAAAAGTTTTCAGAAGTCACAAATCATGCCTAATATTATTACTTTTCATTAGTAACAGTGGCCCCATTTTTGTGGAATTTATATTAAATACTCATTGTGCATTATTTAAAAATAACATTTTTTATTTTGTGCTTTACAATCTGAGTCTATATATATATATATATATATATATATATATATATATATATATTCCTACTTTTTTTATGTTTCCTGCTACATATTTTTTAGTTCCATCACGAATTATAATATGCTATGTATCACTGGTTTAAAATGTTTTTTTCAGTTTCATGCGATTAAATTTTCTTTAAGACTTGAAAGATCCATGGTATTGGACAATGCCATGAAATAGGCTAAACTAATGGTACTTCATTTACATCACAGAATTGACTTTGCATGGCAATAAAGTATGATAATCAGAATCACAAAACAGCTAGTCACTTATATCATGTTATAGATAGTACAAATAATCTCATTCATTACTTTCATATTTTAAAATATGACAAAATATGAGTGACAACTGTACTAACTTTTCACCAAACATGCATTTTTATTTTAAAGACTATAATAAACTTATTTGTCAAAATGTGTAATTTGAGAACAGTTAATTTAGTTCAGTACTTGAAATTATATGAAACTGGCTGTGGTATTTTTCTTGCTCTATTTTTTTTTTTTTTTTTTTTTTTTTTTTTTTTTTAGTGATTTGAAAGATGGTGACAGGCTAATCTGATTTTAGTAAGTGATTTAAAAAGATTCTTTTGAATGAATGTTCTTTATCAAAAAATGTTTTTGTGTTTTGGTTTTTTTTTTTTTAATGTGCCTTTCGACTATCAGGGCCTTTCAAGAGACATGTAAACTGGAAAATATTTACTCTCACTTCATTTTTTTCTTGGTTGATGACTACTTCTTACTAATTGCTTCGTCTGTGTCTCAACAAAGCAGAAGGTATACTCTTCTTGCAACTGGGTAGTTGATGTCAATGAGGAGTTATTACATTTTCTGTGAAAACAATAAAATCATAGGGTTCAATCCCAAGCTATTTTTCTTCCTACAATGTTCCCTTTGTAGCTAACTAGTTTAATTAGTTTTCTTAGTGCTTATTTTTAAAAAGCAATGTCTCTGGCATTTTCTACTTTAACTTAGGAGAAAAGCTACCACAGACTGATCAGACCTTTTTTCAAATCTGATATAAAAAGTTCTTTCCTGAGTATACATAATATTTATAAATAAATATGTATGTTATTACATAGAAAATGTAAGACTTAAAGACTTGAAATTTTAATGTGAAATATGTCAATTCAGAATCAATCCTTTATATGTTTATGTCTGCTTAGAAACAGAAGTCAAAGTTAAGAAGAAATAAATATTCCATATATTTGTAAATGGACTACTTAATTGACATTATTAATATAAAACTGAATAAATTATGAGTGGTGATTACACTACCCTGAACCCACATTGAGTATATTAAAAATAAAGAATTGGAATTCAAAATTTTATATAGGGCAGAGGTTAAACTCTGGGTAGAAAATGAAATAGTTTTCTCAAGGGAATATTTATAAGTGATTGAATTTAATTTCAATTGTACTAATTTTCCATGAGTTGAGCTACAATGTATTCTTAGTTTTCAATGAAATGATGGCAAATTCTATGAACTAGAGATTAGTTCATTAGTTTCAGTTTGTTTTCCTATGGCTCTTAATTGTTGTCCTGGATTTCCAGGATATTTTTATTTCTTGAGTCTCATCAGTATATTTAAATGTATAAGTTTAATCAAATATACATTGTGTTAAATTTATATTGAATACTAGATACATTTCAGATCTCAAAATTTAGATTTAACTTACTTTTACTTTGGCTAAATAGTTTCAGATAGTTGTATGTTTTCTTTTTCCTTTGGATTTTCTTTCAATAAATAAAATTATGTTAACTACTCTATTAGTGTTTGGGGGAAATTTCTGCTGTCAATAAGAACTTAAGATAAAAATAGAAAGATATATAAATGGCAATTATATTTGCAAATTAATATGAATATTCATCATTTCTCTCACTATTAAAAAGCTTTTATAGACTCAACACTGCAGTGAAACACAATTAGCCCATTAAAGATATTTGTTGACTTTTACATTCTTTGTGAGGGATCATTTATAAGATTGTATTAAACAAGTCGGCATTATAATATTCCTGAATGAAGTGTGCTTTAAAAATGATGGCTTAATGTAATATATCTGGTCTTCTATATGATATGTGAAATAATTGACTGCAGGTTAAGAACTCCAATGTTATTGGGGATGATAATTTTAATCACATATTTCATGGGGGCACTAGGCTAAATGTGGGTTTTCTGAGGGAAACAAGTAATAATACTTGACAATGATTTGAGTGAACCAATGTATAAATGGAATCCTGAAAACTATCTTGCTTAGCATTGTTTTTCTACTGCCTATTTAGCTTAGTTTTCTCTTGATCTTTAGTATTATATCTCTAAACATATCACAAAATTGTGAAAATGCAAATACAATCAACATTAATAGACCTATTTACCATATTTAAAAGTCAGCTCAGCTGCTCCCTAAAGTACATGTTAAAGTACTACTTATTCTCCATAAGCTGTTTAGTTTGATAGTGAAATTAAAGACTTTACCAATATTTGATTTCCTGCAGTACTTATATTCCTTTAAAGTATTGTTGTTGCTTTTTAAAAAAAAATGATTTTAGAGAGAGAGGAAGAGGGAATGATAGAGAGATAGAAACATGGATGAGAGAGAATCATCCATTGGCTGCATCCTACATGCCCTCTACTGGGGATTGAGCCTGCAACCTGGGCATGTCTCTTGATGGTGAATCAAGCCAGAGACCTCTTGGTTCATTGGTCAATGCTCAACCACTAAGCCACATCACTAGCAGGGCAAGTATTCTTTAGTTGTCTGCTTATGTGCTTCCCAGATGAAACTATAGCCTTCTACATGGCAAGGTCTATGACCTTTTACAAGTTTAAGAACTTTCAATTTACCTAGATTCTACAGTGATTATTGAATTAATGACTGCTAAATTAATCCATGATTTAGAGCTATATTTAGAACAGACTTATTTAATGAACCTAGGCAATAAGCAGCAATGTCACCTTTCAGTTATAACGTCAATGAAATTTCATGGACAGAAGATACCTCCTACCGTATGTACTGAAAAAAAATGAGGAGTCAATGCAATTGAAACATC